AGATTTTTGTTTGTTGGTTAAAGAAAAGGGCTTTCTGAAGTACTGTTCTAACCCATGTATGTGTTAATAGTCTATCGGCAGTGGTTTTCCAAAAAATTTTTTTTGGTGAGGTGGTCAACAAGCCCTCACCTTAGTGGAGGTGAGGGCATGACTCTGTTACTGGTGGTTACTAAGCTTAGAAGAGGGGCAACATCTGGGAAAGCCTGTGCGCCCAAAGTACCCATCATAGGGAAGACTTCAGTCAAGGGAACATCAGCCCCACTAGGAATATATCTGGAGAACCACTGGGCCCACCGAAGCTTCTGGGGTCACCAAGGCTGGTAGGAGGTGGGTCTGCATATGGACAAGGTATAAGGGCAGTTTGAGTGTACACAGTCTGTGCTTGGCAAGTGGAAGGAAACTCGGGGACTTCCGACCTAGTGTTTCCTGCCTTTTAACTAAAAATGCAAGTGCACAAGGTCCACCACAGTCACTCATGCTCTTGAACAGTGCTGGGTAGTCAGAGGGAGCATGAGGCATGAGTTCCCCAAGTCAGTTGGCTCCCCTAACAGTGCAATGGTATGGTGCCTAACCTTTCTATAGATCAACATTGCTGCACCTCTCTCCCCTCAAACTCCTCAGATACGCCAGGGCAGTAACTTGAGGGGGTTCTGCTGGGAACCAAACCAAAGCCACTACTTGGCCTCATGCTCTGGAAGGAAGGCTCTGAGCACTCCAGGGGCACTGCAGAGGCCAGGGTGCAACACAGTTCATCAATTCACTGCTGACGTGAGGATGACTCCCGGCCTACAGCCTCTCAGATGTGGCTTGGCAGGCAAGAAGGTTCTCTGTTGCTGAACCCAAGACTGAGCCTCCCAAAGCCATAAGCAGGGTGAGAGAATGAGTTGGGCCAGATTTGCATCCCACCCTACCTCTTTCACACACCTATAATAGATGGAGAGCAGAGCAGAGGACAGGGTCAGGAGGGGGTTCCATCCACAATGATTGTACATCTTCTGACTTGGCTTAGTCTCTGTCTGGGAGGGCACATCACCTCCACATGGATTTGTAGTGGTTTTCACACTTGCATGTGCATTCGTGTCTCCTGGTGGACTTGTTCAAAGAGATTATGAGTCCCCAGCCTGGAGTGTAGAGTTCAGTAGATGTGTGGTGGGTCTGGGATTTTGCTTTGCCTGTTTCCCAGATGCTGCAAGTACTATTTCTTTTTCCATGATAGTGATGAATTCAGAATTCATAAAGTTTAGATAATTTTTCTCACTTGTGAGTGTAGTACTCTATCTGAGGACTATCTGTATTCCAAGCTCAAGCCCCTAAATCATTATCATAGTCATCCCTACCTGACAAAGTATCTGTCAGCAAAATGACAATGGAGTGCAAAAGACACCACCAGAGGTTCTGTCTGGGTCCAGGCTTCTGATTGGTTTTAGAACTGACCTTTTATGATCCTATTAATTATTTTACTATAGCAATAACAACCACAGTAATAGTAAACATTAACATTGATAGAGGATTGAAGCCTTGGTGATGAGGTGCTTGTGCTTCTTGATACTTTGTTTTTGCCAATTCTCACTATCCCTGACTGAGACACTGTGGGTTTTGCCTCTTTTCCGACAGAACATGAGAGGTTGGAGAGGCACTTGGTTGTCCTCACACTATTTGTGTTCTGGCGACACAGGCAGTGTGGGGCAGAGTTAAGATTTAGCTCTATTTTTGGAGACTTGAATGGATGCTTGTTGAGACCTCACTGAAATGGAAAGTTGCCAGAAAGTGTAAAGTGTGATGATACCAAGCATATTTAAGGTTAAGTTTTGTGTACGTTCTGATGTCAAGGATGATTCTAGATCTTTGCAAATAGGCAGAATTTCACTGTAGTGGCAATTGTAACTGTTCTGCCCAATATAAAGAGCCCTACTAAGCAGTATTATCACTATGAAGGTCTTTTTCTAAGCCTTTCCTCTGTCAGAAGTGACTATCAAAGAAGACTCAATGACTTAGAGCTGATAACATGGCCATGATTTGTTTCTAGTGTGTGCTACTATGTGGTCTTATTTGAAATCATTTCTTTAAGCATGATGATGTTTTAGGCAGGACCCTAGAGACTCTATAACTGTTTTTTCACTTGAATAAATTATTATATAACTTATGGGGCTACTTTTGTGTTCCCAGCAAGCCACCTATGAGTAGAAAATAGAAGGAAAGCCACCTTTGAGTTTCATCCTTGGCTATTTTTGGAGAGGCATTATCCATTGGAAATAGAGAATGAAAAGTTTAAGTGTAAAAATTGAAAAGGCACCACCTTGTCAGGTTCCAGACAAGGAACAACCTGATGAACATGAGGGGTGGAGTGGAGTGAGAACTCTAGTTCTATAACCAGTCACCATCACTCCTGTCATCAGATTCAGTGGATCCTGCAGGTTCTTGAGAATCCATTGGTTTGTTACGGCCCATCTTTGGGGGGAGGAGGGTAGGCAAAAATGAATGGAGATTTTTCATAGAATACTTAACCAGAAATAGAGTTTATTGGGTAGGTTTCTTGTTTGTGAGTCATTTGTAATCTTCATCCAGAATATAAAAGGGATAAATTTTGGTTGAAAATAGAATTCCAGGCCCTCCCTGGTAGCGCAGCAGGTTAATGCAGGACTAAGAAGCTAAAGCCACCTCAGCATGAGTTCCATCCACACCCCAGGAGGTGACCACATGGTGTGGCAGACCTCTCCTGACCCTCAGCAGTGTGCTTTGTCGATCTGCCTGTGCTGCTCCCCACTGTCTCTGGTGAAGCCTCTCACCGCCCCTGTACCTCTGGCCTGTACACCAGTTCTGTATGCATAAATAAACAAATAAATACATCTTAAAAAAAAAAGAAAAGAAAATAGAATTCCAGGGCTTTCTGGCTCCTCTCTCTGCTTATTCCCTGTGATTGCTGCCTTATTTTTTTATAGACTGAATTGCATTTCTATGGTCTCTATTTAAAAATACTTTCAGAGTTTAGGTATAGTAAGAAAAGTAGATGGGAGGGGAGAGGAAATAAAAACATAAATCCAAGGAGATGTTAAGGGATCCTGATAATCTCTCTAAAACTCACTTCTCATGGAAATCTTGGTGAAAATTATAGCAGTGTTTTGAAAATTAGAAAGGACATCTTTCAAAAATTTACTTATAGACTCAGTTAGAAATGACTAATTTTTCATTCATGTTATATGTACTTAGCTTTGCAAGAGATACTCTTTAGAGTTATTTTAACATTGAAACTTTGCTAAAGATAGACATGCGTTGCCTTCTAGTTTCTTGGTGACCATAGCTTTGTTAACGTATAGAATCAAGGGTTATATATTTTTCATGTGACTTGGGAGCTTATTTGATTCTTAGCATAAAATTGAGATTGAGTTCTTACTGAGTATAAATTCTAGATTTGGAAATAGGTGGGATAGGTAATGGACATTGAAGTTTCATTTGACACACATCATGAGCATTCTTCATATTTTAGGTTTTAGTACTGGTATGATTCATTAGCACCTACTGCCAGTCATTTGAAAGGAAAATTGCCATATAATATGGTGAATGAGATACTTATCAAAACATACCAAAAAAACACAAAAACACTGAAAATAAGTTGATAACATTTTTTTTCCTCAGGCACATGGGTATTCATTTTACTCTACACCACTACACATAAATTAGACATTTTGAATGATGACCAAAATGATTATAATTGTTTTCCTGAAATATTTAATATATCTCAGTAACTGCACTTACTGGGGTTAGCATCTCTTTCTGTATCACAATAATCTCATTTCAAAAACCATTCCTTGACTTTAAAGCTATTTCATATAGACACTAGTATAAAAAGGGGGCCACATTGTCCCTGATAGTGAGTCCATTCCTTCCAGCCTGCTACCCTTCTAAATAAACATTTATTGTAGCCAGACTGTTGCATGGAAGTGGTGAATTTGAATGACCACAGGTTGAGTTTGCTATCCCAAGTCGCATGGTGTAAACCCACTAGTATTGCTGGGAGATTGATGTCCCAGGCAGAAATGTTAATGTTCTGAAGGGCAGCTACATTCTGCAGACCATATGAAGAAGGGACTGGCTGTTTCGGATTAAAAATAACAGACGCCGATGGACATTTTCCAGCAGAAAATGGTACATGTTCTTTCACTGAGGTCCTTAAGAAGAATGTGGGCCAAATGGTTAGTCTTAAAAGGCTTAATGCACAGACAGCTTGAAGATGGCCCTGTGTAGGCTGGTCTTTTATTGCTTCCCACTTTTTCTTTTTATGTTTCCGTCCCAATTGAGTTTTCCTTTTGACTCAATTCTCAGCTGATAAATTCTACAAATAAAAGTAACACCATGTATGTATCTATGAAAAAGCATATTTATTCTTTTTTTAATAAAGGAATTTTATAAGCTGTATCAGAAACACATAGATTTATTTCTATAATGGCTTTTATTGCTTTTGGGGCTTTATCTTCAAGGTGAAGCAGTTACAAGTAATTGGTTATACTTAAGTGAACAGGCTTAAAACTCAATTGGCTTGATCTCTTATTTTGAACTACTAAGTGTAATAGTTATCTATTTTTATAATTGTGTATATACATGCATTTGGAACTATGTGTCTATATTAATGTATTGTACTTCAGAAACTACTAGAACTGGTACAAACTTTGTTGATATGTTTCTTGAAGCTTGGAATAAAGAACAGTTTTGTGCAGATGCTTTGTCTTTGCCAAATGTTGCCTTACTGAACTAATAATGAATGGATTTGGATCCTAACACATGACATAATATAATTTTTCAGATAAACGCATTAGATATTGAAGTGATAGGACCTGCTACGTAGCTATTTTTAGATAACTTATTTTGGGAGACTATCTTAAAAGGCAGTTGGGTTCCAAAATAGGAGAAGCAAAGTTCATAGAAACTTTTGTCAGCCTCTCTGTTTACAGGATCGTGTCCTTGAAGAGGAGAAACTTAAAAATGTCTTTGTCTTATGGTTTCAGGAGAGATTATTCTAAAGTGGACAGTGGAGGAGGACCCACCAGACCATGTAAGTATTGTAGTAATAAATACTCTCCTAGAGTTAAGCATGGACCCAAGATTTTGTCTATGGAAGGGAGAGGACCCAGTAGCTGAGTTGCATGTTAGCACTTGGAACTTTCAAAATATTAAGCCTGTAGAACCAAAGGGGATGGCCCTACCAGCGTAATCCAGATCTGAGGGGACAGCTCTGGCTCTCTGGATAAGACCTGGTAGAACTGTTCTCTTGGGATACTTGGGCAAGAATATTTTATCTGTCTAAAATTAATAGGGACTAGAGCATCAGACCACTTATTACTTATTCATTCATTATTAGGCACAAATGTATTAAGCTTGATCATAACCGCTTTTGTTAATGTAGAAGAGCAGTACCCCACCCCAGACCTGACACTGAGTGAGGACATGTGAATGAATGAAGCCAAAGAACTGAAGAGTGTTACTCATACAAATGGTACGATTTCTGCTCTGTGTCTGTATCAAGGAATTGTTGCTCAAGGGCTGCATTTCCTGAGTCTCCAGTTATGATCATCTTGTATAGAAGAAATTTACAAAATACTTTCCAGTTTTAACTATCTGAATAATCTTGGTGCTTGAAAGCCACTGTCTAGGCTACCCTTAAAGTTACCGTGGTAAATCAGGTGCTCAAATTTGGGAGCAGAATATTTGGATTTCACAGGCTGGTAGAATTTGGGCGTCCAGGTTATGAGGCCAACAAAAAGGAACATTAAATATTATTGTTTTTCTTATGTATGTGGGTCTTTGAATAAATTTTGTCGCTAACAACATCACAAGAGAAACACCTTAGCAGACAAATGTCTGATGTGAATAACAGCCTTTATGTTGGAACTAGAAAATCATGTGACTGTGTGGCTTTTATCAGAGACTTCTCTTTAGCTGTCACCTTGAGAGTTTGTCCTGCTGAGAGAAACCAGAGAAAAAGGAAGTGTCACCTCAGATCCTCAAGTAGATTTTAAATCTGAAGAGGGGTGGTTTTGTTAAAGATGTAGCCAAGTGTATTTAATTCATCCATTCACCCTGTACCCCTGTACCCCCATCTGTATCTACACACCACCCATCTCCCTTAATTGAATGGGACTTTATTTCAGGGATTGGATAACTAAACAGTCTATCCTACTGTTTTTGAAATGAGCTCATTGTTGACAGGGAGGTTTGTTTATTGCTTTCTAAGAGTTGCCAGGCATTGCAGCTAGGACTAGCAGACTGTCATCTCAAAGAGCTGATACCCAATTGCTGTGGCTTATGGTATGGGAAGGTTGAGCATCTTTTGGGATTCCTTGTACTGTCGTTGCTTTTGTGACATTGTCTGCCACTCCCTCCTTTTAACTCTGCACTGTGTGGTGTTGATGGCCTTCATGGAGCAGGTAGAGTGTTGGTGTCATACGGCATTCCTGGGCTGTGTCTATCTGCCACCAAGTATGTTGTCACCTTCCTTCTTCAGTATATCTTACCTAACTGCCTTTGGAGAGACCTCTTGGCTCCTTTGGAAAGAGCTACAGAAAGAGCAGCTGTCTGTCAGCCTCCTCCAGAGCTGTTGAATTAGGCTGTTGTCAACCTGTTGTTGGAGAAGTTCCCAATGCAGCAGACTTGGCTGTCATTGACATTTATAACTTGAAAGCCATATCACAGATGAGTTTGCATTTCTCACCATCCTTTAAATAGCCTTGAGAATATACAACACATGGTCTCTACACACTTTGGCAACCCTCACAAATGTGGAAATAGTTAGGTCTTCTGAAGGTAGAGACACATTGCCCAACAACCTTGTGGAGTCCTCACTCTTCTGACTTAGAAGTTAACCTGATGGAGCACTTTGGTTTATGTATAATCATGTGAGTCAGTTTTGAGTAGGATGATATTAGGGTAAGAATAAATAACTGAAAACTGAGTAAATGGTAAGAGGGTATTACTGGGAAATTGATATCAGAAATGTTTCTCAAATTAGTTTGTAGGTCCCATACCTATTTTCTTATGTCTTAATTTCTCAAAGAACCAGCCTCTTTTGTCTTTTTGAGACATGACTAGAAGAGAAACATACATTGTGGTAAAAAAATAAAAACCAAAGCCACCCTGTGGTGATGTGAATACATATTGCCAAAGGAATTGAAGGATGGGCAGGGGAATCAGATGCATTTTATTTGTGATGAGTCCAGCTAGACTCTAAAGTCCGTGAGGCTTAGGACTGGCTTTCCTCCTCTTCACTCTGGCAGGAGCTATCTCAGAACCTGAAACATGATGGAATGAAGAGCTTATTATTATTAACTAATGAGTATAAAGAAAAAAGCGTTTTGATTGGAAAAGTTATATTTTATCGTAGCAGTAGGGACATGGAAGTAACCACTCCAAAGGTATTGGCCCATAGCAAGGCCTGAAAGCCTGCCAAAAACCTAAAGCACCTTCTGCCCAGGACCCATAGAAAAGTGTCAGAAATGACCAGACAAGCCTGGGAGGAAAAGAGCAAAATCAAAATCAAGATAAATGCTGCCATACTCAACCTCCCCACAAGTCTCTCACCCACATCTGTTTCAACCAGTCCAGGACCAAGAAATAAGCACAGTTTCTTCACATGTCTCCCTTTGCTCCATGTGGCTTCCTCAGGTCTCCTTCTGGCTCTCCATCCTGCTTCCTTCCACCTTCTTCAGACTCTCCTCCAGATTCTTCTTTTCTCTGCTCAGCTCACTCTCCTTCTGGGTGGGGCAGGGAACCTGGAACCTCCCCTTTTTCTGGGTCCATCCTGTTACAAGTACAGTACTGCTCACTGTGAGGAAATGTGGAACCAGGAGCTGGTGTTTATTCCTGAGCCTTTCACCCGTGTGGGTCTTTTAAAGTTTTTTTCTGGAAGAAACATGAGGGATATCTGACCAGTTTATTTGAAAGGAACATGTCCTATATTGGTGAACATCTCCGAGTTTGTGTATGTATACATGTATACACTTATTTTGCACCCACATATTCTCTGGATACTAGCTTTTGGTTGGTGAACTGTTGTGTAGTGATCGTAGTAGGAGGGGAATGCTCACTTTCAAGAAGTCATTTAATGTTTTGAGCACAGCTCTCTGTAAGGTCCGGCAGATAGAATAAGGCAAGCAGTAAATAAGAGAGAGGGGGAAGGCTTTATTACTTACCAGGCACGAGGCTTGTAGACCCAGAGTGGGAGTCTGGGAAGTCACACCCAGTGTATAGGCTAGTGGATTTTTATATACCCTGCTCTGCCAGGCTTGGGGAAATAGTAGAAAAATACCAGTGAGTCATGTTGCCCTTTGTCAGGGGTCATTTTTTGTTCAGGGTCTTTAAGGTTCCATTGGAGTGGCAACCTGGCACCAGCTCATCTTGAAAGCACCAGATGTTGTTTTCAATATTCCTCCTTCCCTGAGTGAGGGGCTTAGGTAACCTTTCAGCCTCCAGGATCAACATGCAATATTGCTCTAGTGTGCAGAGGTGTAGAAGCCAGAGAAGACAGGAGGATAGGTTCAGTGATCAGCAAGCATTCTCTGCAGCCTGTCTTAGTCCTGCTTCTTTCATACATTATTGACCATTTTATTCTTTTTCCAAATGAGTTCCTTTGGAATTTGTTTGGAGGGACTAGAAGGAAGGCACAGCTACTTGTATACCCTCCACCAAAGAGCAATCTAGCTCTGTTCACGGAGAGTAGTCTTCTTTGATCGCACCTTTGAGAGGAACACACCCAGCCAGCCTGATAAGTGAATCAATCCTGGCAATTGCTGGGGTGACAGATGTCATAGTCAGATCACCTCACAGCCCCAGATGAACTCCATTATTACTTTTATACCTGCAGATGATTATGGTCAGACATTACATCTTTATGTACTATGGCAAGAAACAATGGAAAATGGATGGCAGTTACCTCAGAATTAATGGGCAGTGAGGCTGCTGGCATCTGTCAGTGGGTAGGAGTGGCCAGTGCTGACTATGAGAGTAAATTGGCTGTGTGCCATAGGCTGTGTTTGGAATTTTTTTTTTTTTTTGATCAAGGTATTTATGAGTTGAGGCTAATGTTTAATCTTTAAAAAATAAATAGCACTTAAGCAGAGGCAAGCCCTTGGTTCATGAGCTATGTCGTATGTGAACATAGAGGTAGCAGAAGTAATGTGTTGATAAAAAGCTAAAGTAACTCTAGTATCTTTGTAAGTGTACTTTTTCATTTCCTGCAGCACCTTTATTTGCTCTTCATTTAGAGAAGCCAGAGAATCAGAGGTGAGGTTGTGGGATGGATAGGTGTGTGTGTCTTGGCAGAAATGTTGCTTCATGTTATTATCTTTCTAGAGCCAGAATTTAGAACTAGTTAAGAGAACTGAACTGGGCATCTTGAACAGAGAATCTATTAAAGAAAATCAGGTATGTAGGTGATAGAGGGCTATGTACCAATCTAGAGATTTGTAATCACAGGAAGATGCCACATCTTCAGGGCAGATGGGTGTTTGTGGTGGTTTCAGAAGCAGTAAGAGCTTCATTCTTGGAGATGCTCCTGGGCTCATGGAAAGAAGGTGAGAGACTATGCTTCATTCCCTGGGCCTACCACCCCAGCTTCAGGTGCCTCCACAGTACATCTGGGAATCAGTTGGCAGGGGAGTTGCTTGTGATTCATCACAGGACAGAGGTGTGGAGAAAGTGGATTTGAAAGCCAAAGGATTTGTGGCTGGCATAGAGAATGTAACCTCTTGCTGTCCATTGGAATGAAATATTACTTAGAGAAATAAGTTTTGGGAGTTTAGATTCTAGATTTCTTTCACCACGCCATATTTCCTCCTCTGTGGTTCTTTATTATCAATGGAATCATTTCTCCATAATTCTTCTGTGTTTTTTATTGTGATATTTTGACATACTTAACTCCTAATAATGATGACTAACTTTTGTTGAGTGCTCACTCTGTGCTGTGGGGTGTCCTGAAACAATTTTCCTGTGATACTAAAGGTCAGTTGTAGTTGAGCGTTTGGGAAGTCAGAAGTTATGTGCAGATTTTCTGGACTGGGG